GGTAGCTGGCTAGCGCCGTGTCCATGACGGCGGTGCTGAGGTACCGTCCGGTGCGCGGGTCCACCCCGGTGGGCAGAGGAGCAGGACCAGCCCAGGAATCCCAGCCACCAGCACCAGGCAGGCGGCAGCGGTGCAGGCCGGCCCAGCCCGGGCTCAGGGCTCCTCGTCGGTGATGTCCGTGATGCTGCTCAGCAGCGCGGTGAAGGTGGGACGCTCCTCAGCCTTCTGCCGTGGGACAGGGGGGTTTGCTGGGGCTGCCCCACCACTCCCCGCACCCCAGGGGAGCCGCAGAGCTCTGTCAGCACCCCCCAGGGCAGCTGGAGGTGATCAGCGAGGGCGAGAGCAACTTACCTCATGCCAGCAGCTGTACATGATGGCGTAGACCCGCTCCGAGGCCTGCTGCGGCCGGTAGAGGCGCAGGCCTTGGATGACATGCTCAGTCGTCTCGCTGTTATTAAACCTTTCGTACGGCATCTTCCCCAGAGAGTAAACTTCCCACATCAGAACGCCTGTTACAGGAAACAGCAGGGACGGTTGATGGCACAGAAGTGCCTGTGCCTGAAGCTGGTTTGCAGAGGAGCTTGCTGTTGTTGGGGCACCCTCTCTTCCTGACCTCCGAGTCATTAATGCCGTACTCTTACCAAAAGCCCAGATGTCGGACTTGCTGCTGAACTTGCTGTACAGAAGCACTTCAGGGGGAGACCACCGCACTGGAAACTTTGACCCCATGGAGCTTGTATACTCGTCATCTAGAACATACCTGCAGCAGATAAAAGGATCAGGGTGCCTGTCTCGGATTTCGTATTTCACTCCTCCATGCAACCAACCAGGCCCAGAAGGAATCGGCGGAGTGACCGGAGGTTTCATTCCACATGGGTTTCAACAGGCAGAAATGTCCCTTTGCAAACAAGACTGGGGAAGGGATAGGGTGAGGGAGCAGCATAGCAAACAGGATGTGGAGAGAAAGCTGCAGCCAGGAGACTAGAGGTGGGGGAAAGAAGCAGCAAAGAGAAGGGGGGAAAGGGATGAAGGAAGTAAGAAAGGGATGGTGGAAAGTGGAGAGGCAGAAGGTTGAGCTGGCTAGATGAAGCGGGAAGAAGGCAAAGGAAGAGCAGAGCTGGAGGTTGGTGGGGAGAAACACTGAAGTGCGGAAGAGACTGAAGGAGAAACGGATTGAGACAAGAAGGTGACACAGACCTGGAAAGGCCAAAATCTGACACCTTCACAATTCCTTGGTCATTCACCAAGCAGTTGCGAGCAGCCTGTGGATGGAGAGATGGAGACTGTCACTCCTACCTGCTCCTGCCTCTCCCACCCCCTTGCACCATCTGGAACATCATTTGCCCCCACCCACCTAACACTTTGCCCCACTTTGTCCTGCGGGTTCACCTGGATTTGGGCAAGCTACAAAGTCCTCAGCAAAGACAGCAAGAGAGGCTTCCAGGCACCCTGTTTATCTGCAGGGGTGCAACTTCCATGGTGGGATTTTGCCTGGACAAAGCCGCACCAAAAGGGGATCAGGTGCAGCACGTGTCAGGGCTGCGAGCTGGCAGTGCCAGCCCAAGGCCTGACAGACTGCAGGCTCAGCTCGTCATGGGGGTCGGGAGCTCCCTCTTCATGCCTGAGCCAGCAATGCTGCCGGTGCTGCCTAACCCCAGCCTTGCCCTAGCCACAGATGCCTTTCTCATCCCCTGGAAAACTGCCTAGTCCGGCCCTTTCTGCAGTCTCTGCCAACTCGCTGCCAGCAGTGACTTCAGAGGATCCCACCCATGCTCAGAGGGGCAGAGAAGCTTAGAGGGATGTTCTGCAGAGAAGGCTACGGAGCTGCCTCTCCTCATGGTGATGAACTAGCTGGGCCCTGTCTAGGATGTGCTGTAGCTGTCACTGAGCTGGAGATGTGTCCTTCACCCACAGCCCTACCAGGTCTCGGTGCAGGAACTGCTTAGATTCCAGGTACTCCATAGCTTCACAGACGTCCTTGCACATCTCCAGCAGCTCGGCAGGCTGGAACCGCCGCCGAGTTTCCCTCAGGAAGTTCAGGAGGCAGCCGTTGGCCATGTACTCGGTGATGATGAAGATGGGACGCTGCTTGGTGCAGACCCCGTAGAGCTGCACCAGCTTCTCATGAGATAGGTTCCTGTGTTGGGGGCAAGAAGGGCAATTCTGAGCATCTAGGCAGCCAAGCAGCAAAAGAAGCATTTATGAATAGAAGAAGTTTGGGAAAAGAAGATGCTCCTGGCCCAGCTGATGGAAAAGCTCAGTGGGGAATCAGCACGAAGGCAGCAGGTTCTTGGATGCATTTTGCAGAGTGTGAGGCTGCCTGAGACTGTCCCTCCCATCACCCAGGAGTGATTCTGCAAGGCATATCCAGCACTGACCTGCAGGCTGCTCACCACTTACATCATGACTTTGGCTTCGTCGATAAACTCATCCTCTGACATGGAGCCCTCCCTGATCATCTTGATAGCGACATCGTACTGGCCTCTCCATTTCCCGTACTTCACCACACCAAACTGCCCTGTCCCCAGTTCCTTCAGGAAGGTCAGATCCTTCGGGTCAATCTCCCATGACCCTAGGGGAGAGAGTGCAAGCATAAATGGGGGTGCAGGTGACCTCCCTGCAGGCTGCTTCCAGTCCCCTGGTCTAGCAAACCCAAGATGCATGCTCACAACCATGTGCTGCCTGAAAACCATCCCAAAAAATCCATGGAATCTGAGATCTGTTCCTCCACGGGATGGGGAGCGAAGTAGCTTGTGGCCTCTCTTGGTCAGTACTGTCGCCAGAGGGCCAGTGAGTGTCAGGAAGTGATTCCTGGGAAGGCTGTGAGCCCTCTTGCCATGGGACAGCCAGGATCCCAACCCCGGAAAGTTACTGCTGGTAGAGATGGACCCTGCAACCAGGGAACTGTGAGGTAGCCCAGCCAACTTACCGTAGCCGAGGCCAGCTGTGGAAGGAGCACTTTTCTGGTGTTGAGACACGGGGTACTTCAGTCTCGATATGAGCCCTGGAACACAAAAAGGTAGATTGCCACACTGTGCTCACCCACCACGTTCCGGCAGGGAACACAAGCCCCCTGCCTTTAGCGCAGGAAGGTGAGGATACTGTCGTGACAGTAAAAGCACTGCTGGCCTCGCTCTGTGCCCCCCACTGACCGGCAGAGTTGTGCTGATGGTACGTGATGAGCTCCGGGATGGTGTTGAACAGGTGCTTTTCTGCCAGGTAATACTGGTTCTGGGGGGTGCAGCATACAACGTAATGGCGGATTGTGCCTTGGGGGTCTCTGGAGAGACAGTACGTGGGGTCAGTGGCATGGGGAGGACAGCCAGAGGGTGACAGGTCCCCAAAGGGGCCTCTGAGGTAGGGACAAGCTGTTCTTAGATCTGCTTACACAGAGGACTTGGCATAGACGGAGACAGTGTATTTCCCTGTCTTGCTGGTGGAGTCTCGGACAATGAAGCCCCCTTCCTTACCCTAAAACAGAAAGGGGAGAGAGATTGGGGCGGCTGTGGGGAGGTGTGATGGTAACAGGCAAGACTTAAAGGGAGTGGAGATCACAGCATGGCTGGATGGGGTGCGATAAGTCAGAGGAGTCCTACTTCCAGTCCCTGCCCAGGGGGCCACCTCCTGATGTGACGGCCAGGAGGAGGTCATGCTGGGGTAGAAACAGTTCCTGGGGCTGTGGGGGCAACACTCCCCTCCCAGCGCAATCCAGGGTAGGTCCCATGCTGGACACAACATGACGGTAGCCCACGAAGGGCTGGACCCAGCCTTGGAAGCCAACACTTACCTCCTGTTTCAGCAATTGCTCCGCTTGGCTCCGAGTGATATTCTTTGAGTACCACCTGGAACAGGGATACAGTCATCAGGGAGATAATTGCAGCCATTGATGTACCCAGCCTGGTCTGACCTTGGCTCAGCCAGGACAGACGGTGGAGGGAGCAGGGATGGCTGTCACGGAGCCGGAGACAAAAGGGAGAGTGGCCCAGCCTGGCTGGGCTCACAGGCTGTGTAGGTTAACAGAACTGAACGCGAGAAGTCTCTGACCAAGCGCAACTTGCCATGCATCCTCTTACTCACTCAAAGATCTCCAGGGAATTTCTGGTTTCAGTGACATAGTTGCTGGGGATGTATCCTTCCCTCCTGCAGAGAAAAGGGGCTGGTCAGAGGGGGACAAGAGGAAAGCAGGCTCCTGTCCCAGAAGGCTGACTAGAACCTCTCTCAAAAACCTTGGTGCAAACCCATTTGGGTTCATGCTTGGGCAGGCAGAGAGGCAGGCAGGGAGGCAGCCGGTCCTAACCCTGCCATGCTGAAGAGATGCATTTGCCCACCAGTGCCTTGGCACCAGGAGAAGGCACTGTGGCAGGGTGAGTGCTGCAGGCAGTGGGAGCTCTTACCCGTTCTTGTCACGGGCTTTCCACCACGGCAGGTGGCTTTCCTCCAGGATGAAGTACTCCTCGCCCTTCTGCAGTTGCAGGTCCTGGGTGTTCATCGGCAGGTAGTTGTAGAGGGCCACCACCTTCTTCATCTCGCCTGCTGTGCTGGGGGCCGGCTCGGGGGGCAAGGGCTTCATCACCATCTTCCCCAGAGCGAGGGAGAGTGCGGGACACGGTGAGGCTGGCAGACACGCTGTATCCCAGGCAAGACCCTCCCCAGGCCTGGCAGGGCAGTGGGCTCAGGCCAGGTCAGCGCAGTGCTCATCTCAGCTCCCACATGTACCCACACCAGGAGACTAATCCCCTCCTACAGCTTTTTACTGCAGCATTTCCCCCATGGAGACCCATCCTCACAAAAGAGAAGTGTTTTCTTTCTACCTTTTGGCTTAACCCATGATTCCTCCACCCTACAGCAGGGCTTCTCTATCCCCTCAGCCCTCCCTGGGGAACATCATTTGACTTTCCTCCAGGCCTTTGGGCTCCATCCCCTGCTGCCAGCTCCCCTCCCCTCAGGGCACCATCTGGCCCTGACCTGCTGATCTCTGAGTGCCTCGTCAGTCATGGAACAAGTTGCCTTTTCCCAGAGAGACCTCTCCTTAAGCACCTTGGAGCAAACCCACATGCTGACACTGGCCCTTACCTGGTCCTCCTCAGGAGTTGGGGGAAGAGGCTTCTTTGTCTTGCGATGCGACCGTCCAACTTTTAAACCTTCAGAACAGAGAAGGGACTAAGGTAAGAAGAGATCCCCGGCATTGTGCTGCGGTGGTTCCCAGGGGCTGGGGACAGGGC